ACTAACAATCAACAACGATGCATTCATATGGCACCAATTTGACATACCCCTCCAAATTTTTTTTAAGATCAAGTAGATCAAGTGTAACATGATAAATAAATTATAGTAATTAGTGTAACGTATGCACTATATGTAGCGCATCCACTAACGCTAAAGCCACTTTCTCAAATTCTCACCTCTTATGGCGTCAAAAATATTAATGGGTGATATACCTGAATTAATGGAAATAATTCTTAATAATTTAAATGGAGAAATTAAATCATTATACTCATGTGCTTTAGTGAATCGATATTGGTGCAAGATAGCAATTCCTGTTCTATGGAGAGATCCATTTTCATTTTATCAAAAATCCAAGTTTGTATCAAGATACTTTTCATCCCTTAATGAAGAAGATAAAATTATTTTAGAAAGTTATGGATTAAATATCGAATTTCCTAATACACTATTTCATTACGCAAAATTTTTAAAAGTTCTCAATTTATTTTGCTTGATGGATAAAGTTGAAAAATGGATTAAAATTAAAATTAATGGTTTAGAAGAACGAACTAGTTTAAATACAATTAAAGAAGATATAACAAATTTATTAATTAAATTATTTGTTGAAAGTGGAGCAACATTATCAAAATTAGATTTTGATATTTCCAATTTTACACTTAAACCAAAGGTTTTTTATTCATTAGGAAAAAATGAACAATTTTTTTCAAGACTTCAAGATATAGTTATATCAGTAGAAACCGAATCCGATTTTTTAAATATAGAAGAGAATGATACATTATTAAGAATCTTGGCAAAAAAAGCTACAAAAGTTAATAGTTTAAAACTTGATTTATTTGATTATATATTTAAACCAAGATTATATCGTGCATTGGCGAATATGATTAAATCACAAGAACAGCTTAGACGATTCGAGTTGAGTTGCGAAGAAGGATTGCAATCAGAATTTTATGGAGTTATTTCAATTTTAGAAAGTCAAAGAAAAACATTACAAGAAATTAAATTAGATAATTGTGCATATAGTACAGAGTTTAATGTATTAAAAAATTGTGAAGAATTAGAGGAACTTCATATAATAAATTGTGAAGAAGAGGAACTATTAAAAGTATTAAATACAGAATTTTTTCACATTAGCACTTTAGAGATATGTTCATACTCGATTGATGCATCGATTGTAATACCGATTTTAGAAAAATCAAACGTATTATTACAACGATTAAAACTTTATTCAGATGATCAAGAAATTTACACACAACAATTATTAAAAACACTTAAGAATTTTTGTCCAAATCTTACATATCTCTATATTTCATTTATCAAATTTTCCGATCAACTCTTGAAACTTATTGATAATTTACGAAAACTTCAATTTCTTACATTATCATTAATAGATCCTGGATTAAATGATATAGTGAAAATACATGTTATGCAATTGGCTAAAATATTACCATTAACATTACAATATCTTGATTTGGAGATTAATTGGATATGTCCACATATAGATATTTTACTTAGTCACTGTGATGCACCTTTAAAAAAATTGATAGTCAGTAAGGATCCTGATGAAAAAAGAATAATCGATGCATTAATAGGATTTTGTATACGAAAGAGATCATTGATTTATGTAAATATTAGTAGATTTTTGAATGTGAATAATTTGAATAGCACTTATTGGAATAATCTTAAAAAAAATTTGGAGGGGTATGTCAAATTGGTGCCATATGAATGCATCGTTGTTGATTGTTAGTTTCTTATTATATATGGTAAGTTAAGATTTATGAAATTTCTTTTTATTATTATTATTATATAAAGTTTTAAACTAATTTATGAATTCTATTTAGGCACTAACTTTGTAAAGTCTTGAATTGTCAATAAACTTTGTAGTATTGTGTGAATAGTCTAGTTATATCAAGTATTTTAAAAATTGCAAGGACTTTAAAAAAAAAGGTTGGATACATTTTAATTTTCGACAAGGTTTATTAAATTATATACTGTATTTAGGTTTATCATTTATTAATAAATAAATTTTAGTAAAGCATTTTTTAAAAATAATTCATCATTATTGTCAAATTTTAATAATACTTTTTACGTGATTAGTTCACTCGTATCACATGAGTAAATCCAGGTTTTAAATAAGTCAATTTCACTGAGTTTTTAAATGGTTGTTAGAAATAAAGTAACTATTAAATAAATTTCACTGAGTTTTTAAATGGTTGTTAGACATAAAGTAACTATTAAATAAATTAAAAAGAAGCTTTGAACAACGCGATCTTAAAAGTGTGTTTTAAATAAGATAAAAGTCTGAAAATAAATATTATATTACTTTACATGTGCTCCAATAAAATGCTAAAATTGATTCTAGATACCAACAAGCTGTAAGGTTTAAATTTTATATCAGTTCAGTATATCCAGTTTGTTATAAAGAAAGTTGACATAATTCAGAAAAAATTTTAAATTTGAATGTATCACCTTTATTGGAACTATAAATTTTCAATTTTGCTTTCAATTTTGCTTTCATTTTGCTATCAATTTCGCAAATCACTTACTCTTATTACTTTATTAAAAGAAAAAAAATTTTATTATAACTTATGCGAAAACATGAATACTATAATCGCCAGTTATACTTGCTGGCAAAACTAAATAATAAGCAGTGATTACGTTGACAGTCCTAAAATCGGCGAGTTTGTCGTTTGAATGAAAGTTGCTTCGTGTAACCAAAGGGTAGGTTAAGCTAGGTCGAAAAAGGCGTGTTAGATTTGGCGAGCGGTTAAGCAGAGTTTCAGGATGGTTTAGGAAAAGAATAGTTTTAGTAACTACTTTTGTATTATTTAGGGATAGACTTGTATGTTTTATTTTAGATACTTGAATTTTAATAAAGCAAAGACGGGAGTTATTCTTCCTGAAGGGCCAAACTGGCCTTTATTTATAATTGTAAATTCAATTTACATTCGCAGGAATTATCTATATTAATGAAATGTTAATATCCACCATATTACCGAAATTATCCTTATTGTAGATCTGGAAATTTAGGCGGGAAGCCTAAATTTGGTCACGTTTCCGGTTTCACAACGTACGTACGTACTGTACGTACGTACCTGATTTCTAAGTGAGTTGAACCACAACAAAAAAAGCGTGGTATACTAAGAATAACTGGTTGCCTATTATGGTCCGGATTAATCCATCATCCATTTATCGACATGCTATATCCGGATATTCATTTCATTAATGTTTAAACTGGATATAAGTACAAACAAATTATCTGATATATTAGTTCAACAATGTAAATTGGATGAAACCAATTTATATTGTTGATTACCTTAGAACCTAATGTTGTCAATGAATTTATACTGTTGTTACTTTTTAGAATTTGTAATTGATAAGTGAATCCGAATAATTTATCAAATTATTCTATTAATATATTTTAACCAAAAGGAATTGTGGACAGGATTTTCTATAATTTTAAGCGATTCCTAATTAAAGAAGCGAATATTTCAAAACGTTAAAAACGTTAGCAATTTTTAATCACAATTAGGGCAAATATGATAAAGTTTATATATATATTTTTTTAATTTGCACGCAACATAGATAGAATGCTGTAAATCTTATATTAAGGATTAACCCGATTGAAAATGGATTGCGATAATATATATATCTATCAAGAAGATTAAAGAAGACCATATATATACTACAGTATATATATATATTGAAGAATAAACAGATGAGTTTCAAATTTGTAATAAATTACATAATTGAATGATCTATATGAAGAATCTTTTAAATGATGGAAACAGAAATCTACTTGTAACAATCTATACAAATATTTGTAAGTTAATAAAATTATTTACGATAATATACAACGTAACTAATTAGACTAATTAGAAGAATGTTTTTTTTTTTTTTTTTTTTTGGTTAAGTGTAATTTGGAATTTTATAAGGGATGAACCGATAAACTTTCGGCCAAGCAGCTTTTTTCTTTGCAATTGTTGCCATTCTTTTCCTACTTTTTGCTAAATTATTTAATTTTCCAATACACCTTCCTAAATCATATGAATTACTTGAAAATGCGTTCTTAGGAAAGGTTTTAGACCATACATATTCGTCAAAAACACCATAAAATAAATTTGAAGTAATTTCTTTTTGCTCTTTTAATATCTCTATATCATACATTTTATGATGATCAAGAATTAATTCTAATTTAAGTAATTCGAATCTAAATCTATCAAATAGTTTGTTTCTAAAAAGAATTTCTTCGACTTGTAAAGGTGAGAACTTAAAGACTTTGGAGAGAACTTTTGGTAAAAGCAAGGCATTAATATATTTTGATGTAAAACGAAGATGGTTTGGAAGTTTTGCTATGTTTCCATTTTGATTAGCGTGTTTATTGATAAAGATTATTTCGTTAAAGTGTACGACCGCATTAAATGCTTCATAATCACAAGGTTTACGATTAGATAATTCTTTAAGAAGTTCGGAAGTGGTTTGTTTATCGATTTCTTTATCGTGTGTTGTTGACTCGTTATCAATATTCCTCAAAGTTTCTTTATTTTCTGCGACCGATGCGAAATTCTCAAGTTTGATATTTTCAATCATTTTAAAAAATTTATAAATATTATGTTTATATATGTGGTTTGTAAAATTTTTATAAAAAAAAACTTTCTTCACCATCGATACATTTATGTACATTTTTACGGTTATTGTTCTTTTTTACATGTAACATGAAATTATCAATAAATTGACTTTGTTTAAAAAATTCTGATTTCAACTACATAAGAACTCTTGCTTAACGATTGTATTGTATTATCTGTTTTTTTTTTGTTTTTTTTCGTTTCAAGATTTTGATGAGTTAAGAACCAATATCAATATATTGCATATGCATGCATACATGTAATTGTAAAAAAAAACGTTTTTTTGCTAGCGCTAGTGTTCATTGTTTCCATTAATAATGGTCAAATCTTTAGGTCGGTTTAGGACAAAAAAATACCTTATTCATTTCCTGCTTATGCAGCCCATTGTTTCAGGTGACTTTTTTGATACACCACAATAATGTAAATGTATTTGAATCAAGAACGACATTTTCGAATGGCCAGGAAATGAATAAGCATTTTTATTTGCTCTGGTTATTTAGATAAGAATTAACTTTGTATCTTCGATGTCACGTAAGCTCAATAACGGTTTAGAATTTTGTCTATTTCAACAGAGAATGAAGATGTCAAGTTCTTTAAGTATATTATAAGTTTTGCGTTTGTAGTGTATTTATGATGAGGCACTACATGTTTTTTTATTATCGAATATAATGCCCTAGAAATATATTTAAACTCAAACGTTATCTACCGGGTGGGTGAAAAGTCTCTATACAGGTCCCTATTTTTTTTAATCACTAAAAAAGAAATAATTGCAATAATATATATAAAAAGATTACTATAAATCTTAGCAGAAATAGTAAAAAAAAGGGGACCTGTATAGAGACTTTTCACCCACCCGGTATATCCATTAATAGTTTGGATCGAACGACTAACAGTCAACCGACTGAGTCATTAATAAAGTCATCGATTTAATACACTAAATTCTAGACTACATTGGACTTAATACATATCTGATATCGTTGATACTGGCGTATTTGTTTTTGAAATAAGCTACTGGTAAATTTTGTTTATTTTCAATTTTTCAATTTGAGATCCGAATAAATAAGTTCGTCACAAAAGTATGAATTTAAAATTTTATTTCATGAAATGGATCAGTAATCATAATTTTTTTTTAGGGGAATTTACACATCGGAACCCAAATTTGAAATAAATGAATGAGGGCCCAACTTAAAAATTTTATTTATAAAATGCCTAATTTTGAAAATATTACAAACAGTGTGTGAAATTCAATATTCTCAATGTTCTCCGAGAACACTAATAATATTTTAAGATCATAATTCATTAAAATATGTTCTCTATGTGAGAACATTAAATAAATTTTTTTGATATTATACAAATTTAATTTTTCTATATTGAGAACATAAAATCAAAATTGATGTAATCACGGGATCGTTGCGCCATAATATTGCAACAATCACTCACCTAGAAATAATATATGATTTATTAAGTTTTGTAGTATTAATAGCCTTGCAAGATTGATTTCATGATAAATATTGAATTATGCTAATATATTTTTCATTATATACCCAGAGATCATAAATTTGCTATTTAAATATATATATATATGTTGTAGCCCAGATGCAAATCGGCCCAATTGTCAATTGGGCTAGCCCAGATCGCAATTTCATTTTGGGCTACCATTTTTGTCCCAGATGCAAATTGCAGATCATTAATAAATAGCCAGCCAATAAAAATAAGTAACACTAATCACATGATTATTCGACATTAAAAGATACATTAATTACATTAATTACATTAATAGAAATTCAATAAACATTTTAAAAAAATCTATAATTATTACATCTATACGTTCACTAATAAATGTTCATAGTAATTAATTTAATCACTAAATAATTAGTTGATATAATTAATATTCTTAAGTGTGATTCTTCGTAAGCGTACTACACTATATAAACTATACAATATACGGCTCCTATTTATTCAGGGAAAGGCCTATTCAGCTTCAGCACTTATTTCCTTTATGTTAAATAAGAGACCTAGCATATATTTATATACAAAGATAATTTAATATGAGAGAGAAATGATTACTTATTAAGCAAAGTTAAGGTAATTTTATATTCAGGAAGTTGTAGAGATATTTTATATAAAGTATAGTGATTTATTTATTTAGAACTTAATAGATAACTCTATTCATAACTGGTCTTTTTGGAAAGGCAAAAAGGACCTATATTTATACAATTTTGTTCGTGAAGGCTATATTAAGTAAATTCTATATATGATTTAGTTACTCATATCTTTATGAGCAGTTGTTTACTCCTTTGTTACTCTTTTGTGAGCAGTTGCTTTGCCTGTGATTAAACCATTCTAAGGTAACATAAAGCCACACTGCTCACATCACTAATCTATAGCTTATTCGAATACCCCAACTGCTCATCTTAATGTTTACTCTAGCCTTAACTGCTCAGCTTAATATTTATATGCATAGCTACCACAGTTCTTAAACGTAATCAAAGGTATGAGCAGGATGAATTATAAATAAATAACTATATACAGGTATAATTGAAATAATAAAAGAACTATAATAAATAAATAAATAAAATAAGAAAAAAATGTAATTTGGCTGGGACACCAATTTATATTCCAACAATATAAAACAATTTTATTTTAATTGTTATTGCATTCAACAATTATTTTTGCATTTAGCATTATTTGGA